TTGGACACGCTTCAGCAAGAGGCATATGACAAAAAATTTGGAGTCGTCTCAGTGTTCTTTCTTGTAAGTACATGTCAATTCTCAATTAACGTGTTAGTTCTATCATGAGTCATGTTAGTTCTAGTTCGTTCAATGTTAGTTCTACCATGTGTCATGTTAGTTCTACCATTAGTCATGTTAATCCTATTTGGCACCGTGTTAGTTCTGGTTTATATCATGTTTGTTCCATCATCCATCATGCGTAATCCTGAATTCTCCCTTTTAAGTTCAACCCATACATTACTTTGTTTGCAGCACTCACTCTATGGCGTCGGGGCGGAACATTACGAGCTATTTTTGGAATATATTGAAAAATATACCGCTGTCCGTATAGAGCACCTGTTGATCCCCTTGGTCAGGGACGATCACTGGCATCATGTTCTGGTTGACTTGAAAGAAAAGATCGTGTACCACTACAGTTCAGCTGGCCACGAAGCTTGGATGGAGCCTGTTAATAAAATCATAAACTTTTTTGATGAACAACAAGTTGATTTTGTTAAGGCAAATGTTCACAGAGTGTTTAAATACCGAGCCATCAAATGCGAGCAACAAAGAGGGCGGTTAGTTCATGGCCCTAAATTGTGTTAGTATTCGATATAACGAAAATGTCTAATTTATTATTTTATGTTGCAGCTATGACTGTGGTGTGTTCATCTACCTCTATATCAGAGCAATAATTGGAGGTGGCTCGACATTGTTGGTTAATCCACCTGGCAATATCCCTAAAGCTATGCGTGCAAGACTTGCCGCTCACTTATTGATAGCTGGTTGTGCGCAGCGACATAAAGACGGCTCAGCGTATAGTGATGAATGACATGTTTATACAAATACAATAATGTAATATTATTTAATTGAAAATGCATATTTTCAGATGTATTGTTAGCTCTAACTTCGTGTCGGTTCTAAAAGAGTACTTGGTTCATCTAATTGCAATTGTGTTTGGGTTACCTCATTTCTTGTTAGCTCTAGTGGAGCGTTAGATGAACTAGAACTAACAAGATGACAGCTAGAACTAACAATAAGTGATACAGGGCTAACATGGTCACCACAACAAACACTTGGCGTTGAACTAACGCCAGCACGAAGTAGAACTAACCCGAGAAGTGCTAGAACTAACAGGAGGGCGGCTAGAACTAACAAGAAGTGAGCTAGAACTGACAAGGAGTGAGCTAGAACTGACAAGGAGTGAGCTAGGGATAACATGGCAGCCAGAACTGACACTTGTAACGGAACTAATGCCAGCACGACTTAGAACTAACTTATATACAGTCAGTTACGAACCGTATCGTGTTAGTTCTACCTCCAGCCCGCGTTATTTCCATCACAAGTGTTAGTTCTAGCTTATATACAGTCAGTTCTAGCCCATCTCGTGTTAGTTCTATCCCATCTCGTGTTAGATCTAGTTGTTTTCGTGATAGTTCTAATTGAAACTCTTGCAAAAAAGCTGTTCTACTTGAAATTCGAGGAACAGAACGAAGTAAAATTTTCTGAGTTCATAAGAAACATATTATTCAATCAGTATTTGCTCAAGTTGAAAGTAAAAAAGGAAATATTCAACATGAAAATACTTACAACGTTAGTTCTAATTGTTTTAATGTTAGTAGGCATTTATATGCAGGCAGTCCTAGATTTAAAGTGTTAGTTCTAACCGCAGCCCGCGCTATTTCTATCGCCCGTGCTGGTTATAGATGCTACGTTAGTTCTAATTGATTCAATGTTAGTTCTAGTTTACTTACAGTCAGTTCTAATTTCGCTAGCGATCTATTTGAGTAAGTGTTAGTTCTAGATGTTACATCATTTATATGTTCGCTGCTTTCCAAGACATGTCTATCACCCCAACAGTTCACATCATATATCCGCGTCTTTCCAGTTCAGGAAAGGGTGTTAAAATAGTATTTCCCTCGATATTCAAGCTTTGTCCTTTTCCACCAGCACAGGCGCCTCTCTAAATCCCTCATCCCCAAACGAATACCTATGTCCAGCATCTTCAATCTCTGTCATAAACCATCACAGATGGCTATGGATGGCACATGTACACACTGCCATGGGTCAGGGCATACTTCTCGAGATTGTCATCATGGTATTACTTCTCGTGCCCCTCCAAGGATGCTTACCGTCCCTACCAACACCGCCAGCACCATCCTATATCTCTCTGCTTTCGCAATCTTCAATCTTAGGTCAGGCCATCCATCCGTCCAGGAGCTCAGAGAGATGCTGGCTTTTCACTTCAATCGTAGTTCATGGTCCTATCAAATCAAAGAAGCACCAGGAAAGAGCTTCATGGTGCAGTTTCCATCCGTCGCCCTTCTTACCCAAGCCATAGAGCTCGGCCTGGTAGATGGGGGCACCTTTACGGGCAGATTCCGCAGATGGAAGGAGGATCTCAGGCTTTCAACGGTTCCCCAACCTTTTCCAGTATGGATCTGCCTATTCCACCTCCCATACCATCTCTGGGATTTTGACTTTCTGCAATCTCTGCTCGATGGTATCGGTGAATGCATCATGAGCTCTTGTGGTGACATAACACATGATAACTTCAAAGAATTGAAAGTGCTTCTGAAGATTAGGGATTTATCTGATGTCCCAAAGCATGTTCGTTTTCGTTACATCTCCCCAGTTGACGGGATCCTAAGGGAAGGCCACGCCGTCACGCAGGTACTCGGCAGGGGGGATTTGGAGAGGACTGAGGGACCCACTCGCATAAGCTTAGAGGCCCCGCGTGCGCAGCCTTTTAATACTGACCCAGAGTTACAGGAGGTTAGTTGGGACGGCAGGCACATGACTGTTGAGAGAGACCAATGGTTGCTGTTCCTCCAGAACCAAGGGGTCGGGGGATCCAATTTGCCGAGGGCTCTCCCCACCGCCAATGCTCCCCCCACCGCCAATGCTCCTCATCCAGATAACCCCACCGGCTCGCACAGTGGATCAACGAAACCCACCTAACCCTATGGTGTTAGTTCTACTGTGTAATTGTTAGTTCTAGTTGTGTAATTGTTAGTTCTAACGGCTCCCGTATTAGTTCTAGCTATTCTCGTGTTAGTTCTACCTCTAGCTAGCGTTTATTTAGTATAAATGTTGGTTCCAATGCCTATGTTAGTTATAGCGGCTCCCGTGTTAGTTCTATATGTTCTCTTGTTAGTTCTACCTCCAGCTAACGCAAGTTCTACTGCAAATGTGGGTTCTTTTGCCTATGTTACTTATAGCTGAGATATTGTTTGTTCTACCTGGTAGATAGGGTCAACCATCAAAACATTATCTCCGGAAGGATTGTCATTTGGAATCCTATCTGAAACACATGTGGTCGTCGATAACGGCGGCCGTTGATAACGACGGACCACAATCTATATTGTCATTGGGAAGCGCTGCAAATAAATAACATAAACAAAACAAATAATCATTAACTAAATCAATAGAAACATCAACAAATAACATAACACAATTAAGAAAAAATCACTAACGACTGTTTGTGTTAGAACTAGCATGAAATTCATCTGAACTAACAAGAAATCAATTAGAACTAACATGAAATCGATTAGAAATAACAGATTTGACCTAAAATGGAATTTGTCCTAGAACTAGCAGTAAATCGATTTCATGTTAGGGCCTGTTCGGTTGTTTTCTGCAAAAAAAAGAAACCAGCAATGTACCACGAAAACAAATTCCCAGCATTTCAATGTGTTTTCTCAGATTTGAAGTATTATGTTCGTTTCAACATGGAAATCAAGGGATTGAAATCAAATTTCACATTTATTGTGTTCGTTTCAACTCTTTGCAATAAAGAAATGTATTGTCCTTTGTCACATTTCTTGCATTTCACATGTTCGTATTGCACAACCTCAAATATAGGAAACCAGATTAGCAAGTTCAAGCAGTGTGCTTGCCTGCCCAAAAAACCAACTGAAACCAGCAACGGTAAAAATTGTGCAACGGTCAAAAAACCACAACTCAAAACAGTGCACGCCAGGTTCTTTGCTAACAGCAAGATTTTGCTAACGGAAACAATTTATCCCACCCCTGCACTTATATAGTTGGGATCAACTCCATCCTCCTCAACATATTCTCTCATAAAATTACAAGAAAGATGGGCATAAATACTTGAGCATAGAGGCAATTAAAGCTGCGACATGGAAACAAGCCAAGACTCTCATGAATTAGCTGCAGAGGTAATTCATGTTTGGTACCCACTTAATCAAGTTTGGTACCCACTTAATCAAGTTTGGTACCCATTTATTCAAGTTTTGCACCCACTTAACCATGTTTTGTACCTCATTATACTGGAATCAAAATTTTGTACACACTTATTCAAGTTTTGTACCCATTTATACACGTTTTGTACTTATTTAGGCACCGTTTTGTACCCATTTATACACGTTTTGTACCCAATTAATCAAGCCTTTGTACCCATTTATACACGTTGTACACACTTAATCAAGTTTTGTACCCACTTAATCAAGTTTGGTACTCATTTATTCAAGTTTTGTACCCACTTAACCATGTTTTGTACCTCATTATTCTGCTGCAAATTTTGTACACACTTATTCAAGTTTTGTACCCATTTATACACGTTTTGTACCTACTTAGGCACCGTTTTGTACCTCTTTGCTCTGGATTCAAATATTGTACCCACTTAATCAAGCTTTGTACCCACTTATTCAAGTTTGTACCAACTTAATCAAGCTTTGTACCTAATAATGCCATGATTTTATTTTTGTACCCACTTATTCAAGTTTTGTACCCACTAATTGCTCGTTTTGTACCCACTTAATACTGTTTAGTTCCTCATTGTTCTGGGGGGAAAAATTAATTCAAATTATCATCCATACATGATTAATCCATACAACCACATTATCATCCATACATACATAAATCTTAAGGGAAAAGTGAATAAATCAAATTGTGAACATTCAACCGAAACACATGCTTTGTTTTGGCCCTCCGTAAACTTTGTTTTGGCGATGCCGTTAACTTTCTCGACCTCCACGAGCAACATTTTTGTTCTACAAAAAAAATTGCAACTTTATCATGACAAATGCAAAGACATTGAAAAAATATTAAATCAAGATTAAGTATAATACCTTAGCTAAAGGACAACTCGTTATATAATGTCCTTTTCCCTTACAAAACCCACAAAATCTTTGTTTTTTTATACTCTTTTCTTGTGCTATCTCCACTCCCGACTTAATTCTAGTAGCATGTGCTGGTCGTCCCTTCGTGGCAACAGGCTTATCTGGATCACGAATAGTGATTTGAGTTGCTTCCTCTATAGAGATGGGTATGGATGAAGTAGGCATCTTATTGCTGGCATTGCTCTCATTTCCATTGTCGTTATGTTCCTTCTCAATCTTGTTATTCTCAACTTCTTCAAAAAATGAGTCTAAAAAAGCACTAAACTTATCATGAAGTGTACTTGAAGTCAATGTATCTTCTAGTGCCTTGTTACATCTACTCCTAAGGGCCCAATGTTTAATGATAGATAGTTGGTCTTCACTATTTGTAATGCAATTTCTAACAACTCCGCAACCAACATGTCTTGCTTTAATTGTCCATCGTTGCATGATATATCTTGATGGAATTTCTAATACTTGCTTCTTTACTAAAATGTGCAAGCTATGTTTGCATAATATACCTTCCATCTCAAATCTCGCACAAGAGCACTTAATTCTTTTTTCTTTGGATGTATCGAAAACAACATGATGCTTTACTATCTTCTTGCTTTCAGCCTCGCTATCTATATTCCAAACGGCATAAGTAGCACTTGCGCCGTCCTTCGACAACTTTTCATGAAGCATGGAGTAACTATCCTTGAGTTCTTTCTGAAAGATAGTAAACAGATTCTTCGTATAATTCTCCCGAGCTTGTTTTTCAATGGGATGTTCAATTATCAATGTAGGAACTGAGTTTGTGGACTTAAAATCTTGCTCAAGTTCAGCGGCTCGGCGAGCTCTGACAGCATTATCATACTGCTTAACAAAATCATGTAACTCGGTATTTACATTCACAAAATGATCAAAAAAAGCATTAATTCCCTCACTCCGCTGAGTAGATGTCATTCCTGCAGTAAAAGTGTCTTTAAGATACACTGGAGCCCAATGATCTCGATGATTGTATAAATTTACTAACCAACTCCTTTTATCTGCACCATATTTGTCCCTCATTTCTTCCCAACGCTTTTCAAATTTTTCTTCCGATTTACTCCAATACCATTTGTTATACTTTACACCAACATCCTCACCATAATCATTATGCATTGATTGAAGATTTTGTAAGGCATTCCTACGAAGGTGCCAAGAACAAAAGCGATGGCGAGTTTTAGGAAAAACTTTGTGAATAGCACCACACATAGCTTTATCTTGATCAGTGATGATTGTTACTGGTGCTATACCCGACATACATTTTAACCATTGGCTAAATAACCATATAAACGTCTCCTCCGTTTCATCGGCCAGTAACGCACACCCAAATAGAGTAGACTGTCGATGATGGTTAACGCCCGTAAATGGTGCAAACGGCAATTTTAAATTGTTCGTTCTATATGTAACATCAAAGCAAACAACATCTCCAAATTGCAAGTAAGAAGTCCTCGACCTACCATCCATCCAAAAAACACTTCTCATCGTCCCATCATTTTCTAAATCAAGTGCGAAGTAAAATTGAGGATCAGATACCTTTTTCTCTTGAAATTGACGAACTATGTTCACGCACTCATGGCCGACGTTGTTTCTTCGTTTAAGTCTAAGTTGTGCTTGGCATTCTTGTTGAGTGAGAGAGCCTTGTTCATTGCCATGAGCAACGTCTACAACCTTACAAATGGCAGAAGGCCGTAAACCTTGATTGTCAAGAGTATCTATCAACCTTTTTGTCGATTGAGCTCGATGAAGTGTCCGATGTGAGTAGTGCTTCTTTACCCGAGTTGGGGTGGTTAATGGATGACCATTATGCTTACTGTTTAACTTTCGGACCACCCATTTTTCAGTGCTTCTATCAAGTCCAATAACCATCCTTGCGTTGCATCCACATCTTGTATCGAACTTTCGAATTACATTCCGACCATCTTCTCTTTTATCTTTTAAAGATTTAAAGCCTTCTTTGTCACATACAAATATTCTAGATAGGATTGCATCTTTCTTTCTCGACCAAGCTGTGTGACCCTTGCGAACACCAAATCCCTTAAGTCTGGCGTATGCATTGTAGAAATTATAAGCTTCCTCATGAGTAGAGAACTCCATTCCGATATATGGATCAACGCTGTTTAAATTATCTTCACCATTTTCAACGCCCATAAGCTCATCACCATTCTCCTCATGCTCGGATGCCTATAAAAATAGAGAAACAAAACTCATGCTAAAAGACAACTATTTTGGTATATGTCATTAGTTAGTAGTACACTATAAACAATAAGATATTATCACCTGAGGGGGAAGCCATGTTGTAGATAGTAGATCATGGTCCTGGCTTTTATCTTCTTCCATTGTTGCCTCACGTGAGAGAATTGGTGGAGTGTCTATACAAGCTATCAAATTATCACATATAAGAAGTTCAAAATCGCTCAAAAAACGTCATCAAGTTGATCTTTCAATTTCACTAAACAATTTCTAAACGATAGTTTAAACCAAATTTAAAGTTTATATCCAATTTAACAATACATGGCAAAAATAGCTCTAAATTATCCGGCTCGTAGCCATAGAGTGAGTGCTGCAAACCAAGTAATGTATGAGCTGAAATTAAAAGGAAGAAGATAGATCCAAGGAATATGCATGAAGGAAGATAGAACCATCATGAAATCCACTAGATCTAACAGGAACGCCAACTAGAACTAACATGCCTCGTAATAGAACTAACATCATCTCCATTAGAGCTAACATGCATCCCGGTAGCATTAACATGCATTTCAATTAAAACTAACACGTTAATTTAGAGCTAGCTAACATGCATTTCAGTTAGAACTAACACGTTAATTTAGAACTGATGCCTTACCTCGGTGGAGGCGACCTCGACAGCGGCGAAGTGCGATGAGCCGGCGGCAACACTGAGCGGGGACGGCAAGCGCAGGCTGCGGCGATTTCGGGATGTGGAGAGGAGGGGGGAGGTGATGGCGAGGCAGACGTCGAGGGCTTGGTTGAGCTCCGGAGGCGGCGATGAACCTGAGGGCTGAGCTCGAATGCCGTCGGAGGCGTGGCTGATGACGAGGGGTGAGCTCGATGGCGAGGACGAGTAGACGGCGATGACCCGGCAGCGACGCTCAGCTGCGGTGATCTCGGGCGCTGGAGAGGAGGAGGGGAGGTGATGGCTAGGGCAAGGGGACGGCGGCGACGCTGATCGGGGACGTCGAGACACAGGCCGAGCTTGGGCGCCGGCGCTTTCGGGCGGTGGTGAGGGGGAGGAGGTCGGTGATGGCGACCGAATGCGCGATCTTGAGCCGGCGGCGACGCTGATCGGGGGCGGCGAGCTCCGGCGGCGATTTCGGGCGCTGGAGAGGAGGAGGCGGGAGGTGATGGCGCGATCTGGGCGGGAGATATATATAGAGAGAGAGAGAGAGAGAGAGAGAGAGAGAAAACTGTATGTGAGCTGGCAGCTCACATACATTGTGCGCTGCAGGGAGTTTTGTGAAAAATGTCCGCACAGCTGGATTCCCGTGACCAAATACAATTTATTTCTGCACTGTATTATGAGGATTGTATATAGAGAGATTACTGCAAATTTATTTCTGCACTTTGCACTTTGTATTATGAGGATTGTATATAGAGAGATTACTGCAAATTTATTACTGCAAATTCAGTAGCTACTTGTTTTCCGTGACCAAATACAATGCTCAGCTGGATTCCCGTGACCAAAAACAAGTTACTGCAAATTTATTTCTGCACTTTGCATCTTTTCCGCACCCTTTTCTAGTGGCAGCAGTGTGATAATATCACAGGGGAAAAACAAGTAGCTACTGAGCATTGTATTATGAGGATAAACATGAGGATAAACATGAGTTCTCTCTCGATGTTGTATTTGGACTACTTTAGCAAATTTAATAAAGTATATGCTCCTGCCATGTTTAATATACATAGAACAAAAAACACAATTACATCTTGTGATTGTAGCTATTTCTAGAGTCATGCAAAATAAAATAGATGTGATTTTATAATTTCTCTTAATTCCACAAAGAAATTAAGAGAGTTTTTACTGTGATTTTGCTTCAAACCATAATTTTTTAGGTGGTCCATGGCAAGAAAGAGTTTTTACATTGTGAAGAGAGGTCGAAGATGTGGAATTTTTAATAATTGGGAGGACTGTAAAATGCAAGTTGATAAATTCCCAAATGCCGCATATAAAGGGTATGCAACGTACGAAGAGGCTCTAGTTGAATGGGATAAGCACAGCATCGCTTGTGATTCAGCAGCCAACTCAAGACATGTCCAAACACCTTTTTATGTCCCGACACCTGATTCTGCATCGAGCTCAAGAACTACTATTTCCCCCATCTATGCTTTTGCATTAGGTTCAGTGTTTACAATAATATTAGTGTTTGTAATATGTATCGTATTTATTTTTTTCTCTCTTGCAAAAAATATGTGATTGTGAGAACTTATGTATCGAGTAACTTATGTGATTGTAAGATTGTGAGAACTTACGTATTTCTAAGAACTTGTGAGATTGTGAGAACTTATGTATTTGTACGAACTTATGTGATTGTGAGATTGTGAGAACTTACGTATTTGTAAGAACTTGTGAGATTGTGAGAACTTATGTATTTGTAAGAACTTATGTGATTGTGAGATTGTGAGAACTTATGTATTTGTAAGAACTTATGTGATTGTGAGAACTTATGTCATATTGTTTGTATCAGATCATTGTGTGTGTGCGCGTTTTTTTTAAGGACAGAGTTGTGGACTACAAGATGGGTAGTGTGATCTCAAGTGCAGCTGCAATTGCCTTCATTTGCCTTTATGCGAAATCCTACTGCTGCAAAAATCTTCATCTGCATATACACTACATTCCTGTAGTAACTCCGCCAACCTTCTATTGTTTTGATAACATGTTTAAAACCTTGAACTCTGTAAACATAGAGAAAACTATATGTACATCGGATTAAATAATAGATTCAACCACTTTGTTCAACAAAACAGGAGTCAAATAAGAGGAAGTAGCTCAGGTTTAAGAATCCAAAAGTTATACCAGCAATAATTTTAAAAATCACATGATTCACATCAGCATCATATTCAAAAATACATGATTAGCTAATCCGTCCTTGGACGGTATATATAATTTTGCTGCATTAGCTCACCAACCTGTAGTATGTAGTTTTCGAACTTAATACTCCTGAAGTTTCATCTTGACATGTAGGCACCTTGAGTGAAAACTTATATAGGTCTTAATACAAGACAACAATCCATATCAATTAACCAATAACACACACACATACATCGGTCTTAATACATTAGTCTTAACACATCAGCAGCTACAAGACACAATCAGTCTTAACACAATCAGTCTTAATACATAAAATGTAGTAATACATCAGCAGCTACAAGACAATCAGCAACAGTTGTGGATGAACCTGAGTTGCTTGTGCTTGTTCCTGTGTTAGTGGTAGCGCTGTAAGAGAAACACATGCACAAGCAAATAAATTGTTTGTTAAAAGTTGAAAACAGAGTAAATAAAGCGCTGTTAAAGATTGATACACAAAAATGCAAGCAATCATACGTACATTAATCATGAGATATAACTTTTTGAACAAACCAATACATCCACCACCCGAGCATATGTTTAGCTGCAAATTATATGACAAATTAATCATGAGATATGACTTTGTGCTATCAAGTTTCATAAACTTATATAGGGCTAAAACTGAATAGAAACGAAAATGGTACCTTTGCAAGTTAACTTTACAACTAGTTCTATAATGCCCGAGTTCACCACATCTGCTACATATGCGTTTCTTCCTTTCTTTCTTTTCTTGTGCCTGTTCTAAACCTGACTGGATTCTAGTAGCATTGCGTGGACGACCTTTAGTCCTTGCAGGTCTATCAGGATCACGAACTGTTATCTGAGGAATGTTCTCTATTGTATGTGAAATGGGTGCGGAAGGTTGAGGAATATCCATAATTTGATCTTGAGTTTCTCCAACTTCTTCTTCAAGTGATTCCATGAAATTTGTTAGCACATCATCAAGTTGTTGCAGCTTCTCTTCTGAATCAAATGCAAGCTCGAGCACATTATTGAATTTTGCTCTTAAAGCCCAAGATTTCAATAAGTTAATCTTCTCTTCACAGCTGGTGATGTTTCTTCCAAATACAATGTTGCCAACCCCAATGTTACGATGCCTTGCATGTATGGTCCAACGGTGTAGGATGTAGTGGTCGGGTAATGAATCCATTTGCCTAGCCATCATTAGCGATAATATATGTCTACATAGCACACCATTAGTTTCAAACAAAGCACAAGTGCAACAGAACTGCATCTGACGATAATATATGTCTACATAGCACACCATTAGTTTCAAACAAAGCACAAGTGCAACAGAACTGCATCTGTCTGGATTGTTCATAAGTAACCACCTCCCATTTTCCTCTATCTGTAAACTTACAGACCTTGTATTCAACAATGTCCCCATCTTTTCTCAATTCTTCACAGAACTCTGTACCAAATCCTTTGAATTCAGTATGGAACACATCAAACATATTGCGTGTATACATTTCTCCAGCTTGGATCTCAATTGGATGTCCAAGGAGCATAACCGGCTTTGTGTTCAGACTCTTAAAATCTTCATGGGCTTCACTTAAGCGACGATGAGTTACTGCTTTTTCATATTGTGTCACAAACTCGTGTAACTGAGTCTGTGAGTTAACATACCCATCAAAAAATGCATTAATACTTTCACTCCTTTGGCTTGATCTCATTCCAGCAAAAAAAGTGTCCTTCAGATAACACGGCACCCAGTGTTCTCTGCATTTGTAAACTGTTTGCAACCATCCCTCCCCTTCTTCATTTATATCAAACTTCTCTTTCATCTCAACCCAATATCCTTCACATTGTTCAATTGAAGAACTATTGCACCACAAGCCCCAATACCTTTGAAACTGTTCACCATAACGAGATACCAAAGTAGGCAAATGATCAATAATATGCTTTTGCATGTGCCAATAGCAATAACGATGTCTTGTCGTTGGAAACACTGAGTGAATAGCATTACACATTGCTCTATCCTGATCTGTTATAATAGCACCTGGTTCAATGCCGTGCATGCATTTCAGCCATTCTTCAAATAACCAAACAAATGTATCTTCCTGTTCATCGGCTAATAATGCACAACCAAGTAAAGTGGACTGCCTATGGTGATTTACACCAGTAAATGGAGCAAATGGAAGACCGAACTTATTAGTTCTGTATGTCACATCAAACACAATAACATCACTGAATTGCAAATAAGATGCTCTTGATCTTCCGTCGGCCCAGAATACACTCCTCATTTGTCCACTACTGTCTACTTCTATTGCAAAATAAAATTCTGGATCATTCGCTGTCATACTCTGAAAATGTCGAATGATAGATATGCATTCATGACCAATATTGTTGATTCTTTGGGTTCTGATATGATCAATGCACTGTTGTGATGTCACAAAGTCACCGTCTCTTCCATTGGTTGCATTGATAACGCGAGAAATAGTGGAAGGAGGCATACCTTCTTCTCGTAGACTATCAATAAGTTTTTTACATCTTTGAGTTTTATGGAATTGTTGATGTGATCTGTGCATTTTTGCTTTGTCTGGACTACTCAACACATGATTTGTATGTTCTTCAACAAACCCCGTGACCTCCCACGATTTGTCCTCCAATAATTTCACTCGCATCATTGCCTTACATCCCACTCGGGTCTCTCGCCGAAGAGGGATCTCTATCTTGCCACTATTAGGTTTATAGCCCTCCTTATCACAAACAAACTTTCTGTCTACCACTTCTCTAGTCTTGCGAGAGTAATTCACACTGCTCTTCCTTATTCCAAAACCCATCAACAATGCATAAGAGTTATAATAGTTATAAGCTTCTTCATGACTATTAAACTTCATGCCTAGTAGTGGTTTAGGAGCATTCGCATCATTGGCCGCAGTTTCACTTCCAATAACACTTGATTCTCCCATTCCGAACTCTACACTATTTGAATTTGTTTCCTCCATTCCAAACTCCTAAAGAAGAAAATAAGTTCAAGAAAAACAAACTTAGTATTTTTGTTGTGGTTAGAATTTAAAAGCAGTAAACTTAGCTACCGAAAAAAAGTTTATATACAGAGAGATTGATTGACCTCATATTAGGCTGGACCCACAACAATATTAAATGATTGGATAAAAGTCAGGATATCTTGCTTCAAACACCAAAGTTGGATTTGAGAGAGAAAAATCTCGACAATTAAAAAAACAAACAAATATCCAGAACCGGCAACATTCACCGCATTTGTAATTACAGCACACGTAACAGAACGTTAAGAAGTACAAGAAAACTGAAACGGGAAGCAACATACCTTCAGTTCACAGCTTCTCAGTAGATGTTGAGTTTTCTTTGGTAATTACTTGTGACCTGCAGCGATGCAAAAGATCCAGGTAAATGATCGAGCCTAAATGGCCGAATGAATTCCATGGTTACAATTTGATTCTTTTGGTAGTTGATTCATAATAAGTTTGTTCGTGAGGGGAGGGTGCTTGATTTTTATTTATTTATTTATTTAGAATAAACTCCATGGCCGAATGAATTAAAATAGAGTGCAGATGTAGCAAATATGGACGATTAACAGGTTATAGCATGCAGACGATTCAAGACGAATAGTTTAACTACAATTAATATGTATTTGCTCTAAACTCTTAAAGCATATCATGACAAATTTTGCTTGATTAGGAAAAAAAATCAAAGAACTGACCTTAGAATCGAGCTAGGGTTTAGGAAATCGACAGCGAGCGGAGCTGAGGAACAGAGGTTTAGAGAAAGAGAGCGGTGGTCGCGGCGGCTGCAAGGAGAGCGGAGGTGCTCGCGTCGGAGAGAGGAATTGGGGAGAGAGAGGAACTCACGCGGTGGTCGGCGGCTCGCGTCGGAGAGAGGAACTGGGGAGAGAGAGCGGTGGTCGGAGCGGTGGTCGGCGGCTCGCGTCGGAGAGAGGAACTGGGGAGAGAGAGCGGTGGTCGGAGCGGTGGTCGGCGGCTCGCGTCGGAGAGAGGAACTGGGGAGAGAGAGCGGTGGTCGGCGGCTCGCGTCATCAAAAACTGTTGACTAAACTGTAGTATATTTCTTTGAGTATATGCATGTGAATGATCTTTTTATTGCTTTTTTCATACTTAAGTTTGTTCCTCTACCTCATTTTGGTATGCCGAAGAGAAAATAGGATACCCTTTTGGTTAAGAGATTCTGTCCTATATATTTAATATTACATTAAACAATTTGAGACACTAAATAGAAATCCAAACTTTACATATAAAGGACTATGATATCAAACTCATTTGAACAATTAATTTATTCTTCAATAGATATAAGGTTTTCTTATGTAGCAACTAATCTACTATCACAACCGGGTTTTCTACGCTCACCCGAATAACGTTTACAACCACACTATGTCGGTTTTCAATGCTCACCGAACAACGTTCACTCCTCACACTCGGTTTTCTAGTTCACCGAAAACTTCACAACACACTCGGTTTTCTAGCTCACCGAAAACCTACAACACTCACAATGTAACAAATATGAATTTGTTCTCTACAATAGATGAGAACACAATTAAGCACAACTCAATGTTATAATCTCTCACCACCCAACTATACTATGTATGTAAATACTAAAAGCTCAATATAGGTGTGTGTAACAATGAGTAAAATAAAATCTAACTCAAATAGCAAACTAGCAATAATAAGAATATGAAAATCAATAATGAAATTGCTAGAGAAAAGAGTTAGAAAACTTCTCTAAGAACACAAAGAAGAGGATGAAGAGGATTGAGAATGAATCCCTCAATCTGCAGTGAAAAACTTCCTCCTTTGTAAACAGAAACCCAAACTTAAACAAACAGTAAAACCCTAAACCCTTGTTTAAACACCTTGTTTAAAAACTTCTTTTAAAAACTTCTTGGATTAACTTGAAAGAGAGCAGCAATAGGGTATTTATACCCACTCTAAATCTCAGTCAAAACCCCTAACAAAAGACAAAAACAGCCCCAGCAAATAGCTCAGGAAAAATAGCCGTTGAAGTCCAACGGATCTATTGTCGGTCGACCGGAAATTTTGTCGGTCGACCGATGGAGAGCAAAAACACGAAGACCAGCTCTGGACAATCGTCGGTCGACCGGTGCGGTCGACCGATGGAGCTCTCGGTCGACCGGACCGGTCGACCGTTGCAAAATAGTCCAAAACATGAAAACCTGAAAATTGATATTTTGATATTTTGACTTAAACAACATTTTGAAACCTTATGAAATGATTGTATAGACTTGATAAAAGATATAACATGTTGTTATGAAGTCTATAATCTAAATTTGCATATTCTATGCAATATATTCAAAACACTAAATATGATTTCATTAAATATAAGCTTGTTAAAGGTGAAATCATATATAGGCATATAAACATGAAACAAAATAGTATTTTCCAATCCTATTCATTTGTTTCATATATAAATTCGAAACCTATTAAACCAAAAACATATATGTATATATGTAACTGTATATATATAAAACCAAAACCAAAGCGTGTATGTGTGTATATGATTGAGCATAAAGTACTAACACACATAATATAAAATCTAAAACTAATTTACCCAAGCTTGATCTTGATCTTCATTGAGCTCAACTTGGTACACGTTGTGGATAAAGCTAAACTTGGATCTTGAACTTGAATTGTACGATGCTTTACTCCACAATTCCGCAAACCTCCTCTTGATATGATCGTGTAGGCTCAATCCATCCAACCTCCAACTAGTTGTTTGTCTACAATGAATAGATAACACAAGCACTAGACAAACAACATTAGTTATAAATTGTTTGTTAAACATCATCAAAACAAGAAGGCCAACAGTGTAATACCCCAACCCTTGAGAGGGTGATGTGATTAGTATTAATAGATTTGATTGGAATACTCATACCACCAAGATGCATCTTCTTTTCAGGAACCCAACTCTTAGAAACTCCAAAGTTTAGCGTGCTTGACCTGGAGAAATTCTAGGATGAGTGACCCCCTAGGAAGTTTTTCAGGGAGCGCGTGAGTGAGGACAAAACTTGCTGAAAAGACATGTGGTGGTTTGTGAGGTCAGTCCATCAGATCTAGTAGCGTACCGACTCTGGGATTCTGGGGCGGGGCGTTTCAAATGGTATCAGAGCAAAGCCAACCGGAATTGTGAGAGCTAAGTGCTATGCGGCGCAAAGTGCTACGTCGAGAGGGCGGAAGCCACCTCTTGAGGCCGTAGGAGCACCTCTAGAATCTCACACGGATGGTATGGTCTGGGATGATATGATTTGGTGAGGATGTTGCGAGTTTAAGTGGGGGAGTTTGTAATACCCCAACCCTTGAGAGGGTGATGTGATTAGTATTAATAGATTTGATTGGAATACTCATACCACCAAGATGCATCTTCTTTTTGGGAACCCAACTCTTAGAAACTCCAAAGTTAAGCGTGCTTGACCTGGAGAAATTCTAGGATGGGTGATCCCCTGGGAAGTTTTTCAGGGAGGGCGTGAGTGAGGACAAAACGTGCTGAAAAGACATGTGGTGGTGTGTGAGGTTAGTCCATCAGATCTAGTAGCGTACCGACTCCGGGATTCTAGGGCGGGGCGTTACAACTTGTAAGTTTGGTTGCATGAGTGAAGTATGGGTAGGTTCTTTGAGTGATAAAGAGTATTGTATAAGATTAAGAACTTAATTATATATGTAGAATGTGGGGAGCGTTATTTAAATGAAAGAGGGAGTACTTGACAAATACTATTCTCAGTTTATGGGTACAAGCACAAAAAAACACAGGACTGAACAACGCTTCGATTTCAAGTAATCTAGGATGATTTTTACTATTTGCAATATTGGCCTATTTGTTGCCATAGTCAACATTTCAGACATGAAGGATAACATTCAGGACGTCACAAGAGATAAAGTCAGATTTCATATAATAATTCATATGCAGTCAATTGATCATTCTATTAATGCTAAGCCTTTTTTCATAGTAATTTTTTTGCTTAAACTAAGGAATTGATACTATGATCAGCTAAACAATTTGATGTCTAAAATGTCTGAAACCTACATGAACTAAAAATATGCCCTTTATTCTTAGGATAACAAAAATATTCTTAGATAAAAAAGGATATCGTACACTTACATACAACTAACCTAAAAAATCCAGAGTCATGCCGGATTTAAATCACAGCTATAGTATCCCATATGCTGCAATATTGCTATGCTCCTATTATATTACATTACTAAAACATTGAACCAATATGAATCTATGGGAAAATTTTAAATCTTTAAAGAAATTATTTATAATTTTTGTATTTTTTAGGAACCTACTTGTAGTTTTTGAAAATTTTAAGGATGTAGCGTGTAATTTTTGAAATTTTAAAGGAGTTGTTAGTAAGTTTTAGATTTTAAAGGATTCATTTATAATTTTATATTTTTTAGGGGGGTGTTTGTGATTTTTTGCTTTTTTAGGTATTTGTGATTTTTCACATTTTCAAGGGATAGTGTCCAATTTTTTTCATAGAAAAGTGAAAAGAGAATCAAGAATATTATCATTTGACTTTTAATAGGGGTAATTATATATCACCCGACACTTTTAAGTACTTTCCAATACACTGCTAGCTACATAATCATTTAACATCAAAAAAATCACAAGCAACCAAAATATGTAAATAATAATTTTTTTATTTTTCACAGAGAGGTTTCTTGTTCATTTGTAGTCTTGAATAGATGATGTTAAATTGGGGGTTTCTAGAAAAGTTTTGAAAAGTTTAGGGGCTTTCATGGAAAATACCCTTAAGTTTTAGGATGTTCTATGCAATTTACTCTTTAAAACTGAGAGGGAAATCTCTTTACTTGGCTTGTGGCATACATATAACACTATCCAGAATCAAGATATAGGATTCAAAATATTATTTTTAATTTTTTTTAAACGCATATATTGGTTCTACATGCATATGATAATTGAATAATATACGTGCGTATTGATTAAACAATCTAATCTAATCTAATAAGAAGAAAATAACAAAGGCACATACCTGTTGAAGGAGATGAAAGTGCTATAAAAATTATTACAAATTTTTGATCTAAAAAAAGATGAAACATACAAACATACAATATATTAATTACCTTAAAATAATCTAATCTAATCTAATAAGAAGAAAATAACAAAGACACATACCTATTGAGGGAGACGAAAGTGCTATGGAAATAATTGTAATTTCTTAGCTTATATATATTGGTATGTTATATTGCATGTGAAAGGATAACAATTATAAATAGAGTTCTATTTAGATAATAATATTCAACAAGCTTAATGAGGGCTTAATTAATTTGTTTGCACATATGTTCACGGGTGCAAGATGAACAATATATATAAGGGGAATTTTTATTAGAGGTTAGTTAAATGGAAGCAGGATTAGATAATTGAGGTTTATGGATTAGTATTTGAATTCCAAGTATATTTTTGTCTATCAAAATATTTTCACGAACTCGTGCATATACATATAACACTATCCATAATCAAGATATAAGATTTAAAAACATTTCTTATTTTTTTTAAAGGCATATATTGGTTCTACATGTATATGGTAATTGAATACTATACATGCATATTGATTAAACAATCTAATTTAATCTAATAAGAATAAAATAACAAAGACGCGTACATGTTGAAGGAGATGAAAGTGCTGTGAAAATTGTTATAATTTCTTGATCTTAAAAAAGATGAAATATACAAACATACAATATAATTAATTACCTTAAAATAATTTAATCCAACCTAATAAGAAGAAAATAACAAAGACACATACTTATTGAAGGAAACGAATGTGCTAAGAAAATTATTATAATTTATTGGTTTATATATATATATTGGTAC